AAAGATATAGCAAATGGAAGCGTGAAGTATGAGTTCGGCATTAAAGAATCAGCCTGCGCTTCAAAAAAAGTACTCATGTTTATTGGAGCCACAGGATCTGGTAAGGAGTCCAGCAGTTTCTACGTCTACCCGTCTCTTGCTTACATTCTATGATACGCTCCCTCGGACCTTGAAGGATTTCGTATTAGGATATGTACATTCAAAGTGGTCAAGAACGTGTTAGCCTTGTGGATATTAATTTATATAGTATACAAAAGCTCATAGTCTCTTGTCCTTTAACACATGAAACAAATTAAAATATTTTAAATTAAATTAGTATTTTCCATCGCATATTATTACCAAGGACTTTGTTATATCACGATACGTTAAAGATGCGTTTAGAAAAACAAGCATGATTGGAATCCTCAAAGGGCTCCCCCGTGCTAGTGGTAATCACCCTTATTAGGGATCTCGAATCGGTTCAGTTATGGAAAGAGATTGTAAATTGTTCACATTTCAATAATATTGAATTATTTAAATAGAGAGTTTTCTTTTTCAAACAAAATTGAAGAGCATCCTGGCTTTAAAATCAATATTGACTCAACTTTAAAAATATGTTGACATTGACGACATTTTTATGTTTTATGATCGTGGACATAGACAACGTTGCCGCGATGCTGAAAATATTACTGTTACGAGAACATTCCCTAGTCAAGGTTTCATCAACGAATGATTCGTGAGGCATTCGGATCAACAAAATCCTCTCTCTTAATGAAATTCGAAGCGTCAATGCTCTTGCAATGTTGCTCCGATATCGTTTTGCATACTGGGATTGCATTCTGACATTCTAGACAACATAGCACGTAATACTAGAATTTTTCTTGTGACGCTAACATTGGCTTTAAAATGATTTTATTAAAAGTGCTTAGAATATTGTTTCGCTAAAGAATCTGCTATTAGGGAACAAAACGAACTCTCCCTTCCACTCTGGCATTACTTACTGTCACTCAATCACCACCGCCACTTATGGCGCGGTTTTTTTGTTTGTTTCGCTCCTCGATTTCTGAGCGAATGCGCCAAGGGAAAATAGATTAGTTTGGCTAATATGACTTCTTCTTTTCACAGGAAAAAGCAATGTAATAAATGGTTTGGCGAATTATGCATATGGAGTGACTTGGGGGGACGACTTCCGTTTGAAATTGACCATGGACGAAGATAAGGAACAGTCTCAAGCTAATGACGAGAAGAACTTGATCATGACTTACGTCCTAAACTGGCAAAAGGAATTCACGCTTCCTTATACCTTGACACTCATCGATATACCAGGGTTTGACGACAGTGAGAGGATCGAGTCACTTGACCAGTTACGAAGTCGGATCCGGTCAATATTCCTCAATGATGGGAACAACGGCGTCGAGCAGGTCGATGGAATTTGCTTCGTTGTACAAGCTTCTAAATCTAGCCTCACCTACAACCAAAAGAACATCTTCCGGTTTGCTTGTGAAATTTTTGGAAAAAATATGGAAAGAAATATGTATATTCTGGCTACATTTGCAGACTGCCATAAGCCAGCAGTTCTGAACGCCATCAAAAATGCTTCCATTCCTTACCGGGATATATTATCCTTGAACAGCTCTGCATTTTTCGCACGGCCACACAAAGAGAGTGATGTCAAAGATTTAGAATTATTTTGGGATATGGGAACTTCGAATATCAATAAGTTTTTCAACAGTTTGCAAGAAACAGAACCAATCAGATTCGTAAGGACACATGAATAAATCTTCGAAGAGCAAAAACTAGATTTCGTTAGGGTGTTGACTTCCATTTGGTTTTGAGAGTTTGAGGATTATATATAAATATAATCTTCATGTACCTTTGGTGTGCAAAGTAATAAGAATTAACTGTTGACTTCCTGGAATACCTTATGTTGCATTATTAATACATCAAGAAATAGCGATGGATCCAAAGCATCTCACGTGCTGCAGGTCATAGAAATTGACTTCGGCCAAAGTTGCAACAAGTTGCTGGATTGCGGAAAATGTTTGAAAGAACCCTCACATCGATACCATCGGACAAGGTAATATGAAGAAGAACAAGAATGCATATTCCAGAAAAACATGTTAGACTGCCCTGTCCCAATAAATATTTGTTTATATGAACATTTATTGCATTTGTTTTCCTTTGGATCTGAAGAAGAAGAACTTTGGAATGAATTACACTAATTACACTAATCCCGATGAACTCCCTTTTGGAGGAACAAGTCCCCATCCATAATTCCATCTCCATCCGCGAAGGAAATCCTTGTAAAACAGAGCGTCTTTTCAATTGACAGGTGGATAGGCCCGGTCCGACCCATCGAGGGGCCTCCCCTGTCGCCGGACCTGCCTCCACCCCACTTCTGTCTGCAGGGTTAAAATGTAAAGGTCAGGAATAACCCGAAAATCCGTTCGCGATTGATGAACTGAAGCAACGCATCATTGAGAGGATTGCTGGAGTTGGCCATCGGTGATGGCTCGCATTATGGAGCTTCATGGTGTTGAATATCATGGTCAATAATTACGAGCATTTTTACGCCAAGTAAATAAGTGAATTGTTATTCAACATTTCATATTTGTTAACTTACGCGCGCTTTTTCATGATCAAAAAGTAGTTTGCAAATAAATGCACTCCTTGCCAAGTTACAGTTGTTCAAAATCATTCAGTAACTTTTGACTCACCCCGTATGTATACTAGAGAGTTTGTTTGCCCTTCGTGCAAACAAAGTCTCTTTGGCCGTGCCTTCGGCGCTCCATTTTCCAATATAATGATTTATCCATTTATTGATTTTCAAAGTGGCAAAAACGTATTAAAAGAATGTGTCTGTCGATATGTGAATCGAGAGAGAGCGAACTGATTATTTCATCGAAATAATTATTCCGATCGTTTGTGTGGGCCCAATTCCAAATCACTTCATAATTTGCCATGAGGGGTCATATTTCAAAAGAAGGATCTGCACTCAGCAATTGAAAAGGTACTTCTAACCCACTTTGCCAATTTATTTGGTTTTTTCTTTCATTGAATTAGAAAGGATTCCGGACAAATCGCATTTTTCGAAATATACGCCCTCAGGCGTTATTAAAAATTATTTAAAATGAATATTTTTACTGAAATCCTGCATCCGAAGGGAAGAGTAATGCGAGGAAAGATTTGAATGTTTGTAACTTCACATCGGAATCTCGAAAAAAAAAAGTTTTAATGTTATACTAATGGGATTGAACCAATTCTTATTCTTTGGAGTGAATGAGACATCGATAGGCAAACCCGACACAATTTTTACTGACTCACACTCTCCATTAAACTGCTTGCAAGATTAAACCTTCTCTGCTTCTCTGGAATTCGGGGGAGATGGCCGCGAGGAACCCCTTGGGATCCGCGCGGCCGTCTCGCCCTACTTCCTCCAGATGTTCCCCGATTTGAAGGACTCGTCCCCCGGCGAGCTCAGGCTGGAGGATTTCAACGAGAAAACTACTCGATGACGTGTGACGAGATGAAAATCTTCTACTTAGGCAAAAGTGCTTGGGAGGAAGGGCCAAAGCCCCCGCGTACATATCATACAATGGGCAGAGACTGCAGCTTCTTCTGGTTTCGTGTTCGTCAGTGGAAATTACGATCAATACAAACGAACTCAGGGGGTGGTGTTCCAGTTTAACGCAGAGACTGAGTCCAACTAATGGGGTTCCTTAAGGCAGAGGTGCAACAAACAAAAATTAGGAATCTCGACCGTCTTCGTGAAAGTGAACGCATGCGTTTTTGCAGCCGTTGAAGCTCGGTCTATTCGGGGGTATCTCAGGATACCGGAAACATGGTCGCGGAACTGAGTCAAATTTGGGATTTATTAAATATCTCTTTTGTCAATTATATTCACTCGAACATGCATATTTATGAAAAAGAAAATATAGAGGTTTATATACCATGGAAGGTGTCGTCACTTAATTAAAGCTGCAGGATGCTGCCTCTTTAGATTGATCTGTCAATTTCCATGGTGCCTGCGGTACTTGTCTCAAGTCCGTTTCTGCATTCGATGCATAGGACAGCCCCCTTGGATACGATTTCCCGTATTGTTTGCATACGCCGGGTTCCCGATTTTAGCACAAGTTCAGCCTTACGGTCGCGACAGGTCGGAGGACCAATGTGTATTTTTGGTTTCGTCAAGGCCATCTGTGGCATGGTTGGGCGTCGGTCCTTAAGGTAAGGGCGACATTGACCACGAGAGAGAATCATTTCCTTCCGCAAGGCAATCAGCTTCGCGGCATTACGTCTACTGTAGATTCGGTGCCTGGAAAACGAAATCTGGTGCCGGAAAATCGAAGACGATATATAATTTTTTTTGCTCACTTTCGCCTCCATCGCTTCATGGGCGGAGGTACAACGAGACGAATGGGCGTTTTTGGCACTCCCGACCTCGGGAGTGCCTGTAAGAGTTGGATGGAGGGGGAAGGAACGGTGCAATTTTCAAAATGAATTAGTGCAGGAATTCCGTTTGAGAACGCATGAAATGAAGAAACAGTAGAGAAGTGTGGTGGGGGAGGGGAGAGGGAAAGTCAAGCCAATAAAAATTGGTTTTCATATTGAGTCATTTCTACATATCAACAACAAACAAATTTTTTCAATGGGAAACACCTGGGCTACGAAGCAACTGATGTCCAGAAGTAAAAACACACATAGCGTTCGCAATCCTTACCGCTATAGGGTATAACATCGATACATGTCTAAAGGGGAATTTGGTAATATTTCTTCTTTGAGCCTCGTGCGTTAACTGGGATCGGGTTAAAATAGAGTTGCCTCTTCATGCATGAAATTTGGATACGGAACTGGCCTTTTCGTTTCTCTTTAGTTCTCCAGTAAGTGATGTTGTGAGAGTGAATTATGCGCAACTCTCTGGGAATGCTCGCAAAAATTACCCATTTGAGGTCTTCGGTCCTTGGAATTGGAAAAAGATATTCCTTTATCACTGATGGAATTATGAGACATACACATGAAACAATATATCCTATTTACCCACGAGAACGGACGAGGGGACACAATTATAAAATGAGCGCTGATCAAACCAAAACCCAATTCATGAGAGCCATTCAAGAGCAACAATTGGCTAGACCCACTGCAAATTGGAAACGAAAAAGGTTTCATGTTTCCGTCTCGTTCGACCGTCACGTAAAGCTTTCGCATTTTCAGCGAAGCCAGTTCCGTAGGCTCCGGTTTACATCCGGGTCCACCAAGGATTAAACCTTGGTGGAATGACCGTGGACCTCTCCGGAAGTCCCCCGGTCTGTAGAGGCAGTGTCCTCAAAGACGTGCACTTTTCGCGGGAAGGAGCAGCGTCTACTAGATACCCACCCCCTTTCGCTACCAGCACTGACCCCACGTTCGTTAACCTCGACTTCAGGATACGGGATGACTGCAGGTTTCTGTCGACAGGATTTCCTGGGGTCTCGGTCTGCTTAGTTACCTTAACCCCTTTTAAAGAGTGGTAACTTCCTTGCGAAGAGTACTAAGCTGGTTTTTTGTTTTCATTATTAAAGTCACGTGCGATCTGCCTTCCTACGGTAGTAAAGACAAGTTAAAGGGCGGACGTGAAGGAGCTTCAATTTTGCCATTTCTACGAGGTCCCAGACTAAACGCATATTTTTTTTAAAGAGAATACATGTGTAAAGTAAGGATTGGGTTTTCGAATAGATCAATATTGTCGTATGTATTCCAGTTTCATTATTCATTCGCTATTGTGCATTCTGGAGTCCATTGGCTTCGTTTCTGAAGCCAAGGAATGAAGCCATCACAAGCATTAGAGCTTTAAGCTCTAATGCATATGAGGCGTCGATCAGTTCATCCTCGAAAATGCGGGTATATCTGATAGGGATTATATACGATTGTAAATCACGTCTGTGCCGCTTTAACCCTTTGGCGTCGGGGGCGGTGGCGCGTAACAATGCCCACAGGAGGCTAAATCGACCCTCCTGCACTTTCAAAATGCATATTGGAAATAATAGTGTAGAAAAATCCCAGAGGTGTCAGAAACCTGATTCCAGGGTTTTTCTTCCCCTTTTTCGAACGTCGACTTATTTCCAGTATGATAGAAATAACACCTTACGATTCCGTCATCAAAAGAAATAATGATTCATCGTCAGCATCCACGCATTAGTTTGCTCTTATTCTTCACTTCTTGTTATGGATTCGTCACATTTCATGCACATTCAACTACTGTATTTCATGAACAAGATTTTACATGTGCAGCGCAATATCGTAAGAGTATATATCACTTGTTTCAGGTTCTCTTCAATTGAATGCGCCCAGCTTTAAAAGCGGTGTCATTAATATGATAACTTCATGAAAGTGTGCTAAATGCCAATCAGCAGAAATCAGAAGAAGACGAATCTGAAAGAACAAGAAATATGTTTTTGAGAACGGGGCCATGAGCAATCGGCTGCAAAATCGGTGACGCTAATACGCATGGTACTGGAGTTATGAGACAAATTTGGCCTTCCAATTTGCCAAGCGGGCTGGCCTTGCACAGTTGGCAGCAAACAGGCCAGATGGAAACGTATAAATACTGGAGGCGACAGAATCGAAGCAGACAGAATCGAGTTACCTTTCGTACCAGAAGCACATCGGAGTCTCAAGCACCATGCAATTCTCAATCGCTCTTCTCGTCATCCTCTGCCATCAGAGCATCTGGGTGAGTCATCAGCTAAGCATGCATTGTATTTTGTTTCATGGTCATTACCGCATTTATTGTAACATGCATGCCGTGAACGTGCCAACGTTTCGCATCAAATGGGTAGTCCATCATCGCGTAGAACTTGGCACGCCACAGATCCGTGACAGTGCCCTGTTTCGCTAACCAGACACCCTATCGTTTTTCATCATTCTTTCCTTTAGGCTCAAGCGGATTCGGCGTCGAATATGAATATGCCTTCATCCAGGCAGAACTATGATTACTCGGGCTATGGCGGTGGAGATTCCTATTCTGACTATGGTGGGAGTGGAGGTGATTATTATTCTGGCTACGGTGGCGGCGACAGTGGCAGCGGCGGTGGCAGTAGCGGTGGCGATAGCTTTTTGAGCGACATGTCGGACCTTGCAGGGATTGGATCATTCTTTTTGGATTTAAGAAGGTGGGACTGATGTGTCGAATCTCTCAATACGAACGAAACGTTCGGATTTCCCTTTCACATTCGTCATGCGGGATTTGACTCATAATATACCTATTCCGTAGGGGTGAGATCCTGGAATCTGCCGACCGATCCTGAAGGCATTAGAATTCATGGAGTCCATCGGGAGCTTCTCCAAACGGAGTTGATACGGATCTGATTTTCGTTATCGGATTATTTATGTGTGACGATGATAATGCATTCTTTATATGCTGTGTCCGCTTGGTTGCATGCTCGCAAAAATAATAAATCTGAGATCGGTCAAATATGCATGTGGTTTTTTGGTAGTTCGTATTCCGCTCATGCTCAAGTTCATCCATGGTGAAAATCTTGCTCTGTATGAACCATCGATAATGAAATCAATACATTGACCTATCGTGACAGTCCTATAATTGAACTCACCTCTGCTTTGAATTTCAAAATGTAAATATCTGAAGCGATAGGTGCCGTTAGTAGGCTTACATGGAATAGACTGCATTAAGTAAAATGCTGTGAATTTGCTCAATCGGGATTAGCTGAATGTTTTAGTCAAAATTTACTTCTTTCTTTGAGGATACTTCACTTTCAGGAAGTTTAATCTCTATTATTAGGCCTAACCAATGACTAGTCCCTGAAGATGACCATCGGCTTCAACGATGGCAATATCTGGACAAATCCATGAATACTTGCCATCATACGCGTTTTCTATGCCATATGGTAGAAATAATCATGGAAGACTCATTGAACCCAGCTAAACTGGAACTGTCGACTATTGCTCAAAGGCTAGGTGTATTTCGTTGTTCCTGCAGCGAATTGGCATACTAGCCTTTGCTTTCTAGATTAGGTATGCAAAGATGTTCCCGGAGAAATCGTCAAAACAACCGTCAAATGAGCCCGTTGGGGTAATCTTTCCAAATGATTAGTTGGGCGCAATACACTTACTTGTTAGACCCAGTAACTGAAATTGGTTTTGCTCAATAGTCACTTGATTTTGGCAGCGGGAACATAACGGGGCATCTGAAATATCCCTGTTCATGCCTGACGATTGCATCTCCAATGATCAAGTGAACAAGTTATTTTTGGAAATGGCATGGGTCTGCGATGTCATACTGACAATTGAGCCAGCCATCCCATGTCCGACGTAAAAGAAAAAAAAAAACTACGTACATTTTCTGTCGATCTCGGATTTATTCGTTCCACAAACAGAAGAGCAAGTAGACATAGCATGAAAGAAATTCCTCATTATCGGCGCAAGTGGCTCATCTGTTCAGGAAAGTCACATCCGTAGACACTCCCTTTGGAAAAGCTCCTGAAGGACTTCATGAACTCTAATGGCTTCATGACCGGTC